AGAGAGATAGAAGAGAGGACAGACTAGGGGAAGGGATATTCAGAATGCATGCCATCTTGGGGTGGGGGGAGGGGGGAGATGGGGTGAAAATTTGGAACTCAAAAACTTGTGGAAGTGAATGTTGAAAACTAAAAACAAATTTATATTAAAAAAAAAAAAGAATAAGGGTTGAGAGGCCAATGGATTTAACTGCAAGGAACTAAGAAGTGAGAGAGCAGTAATGAAATAGAAAGTTTGGCAGTGAAAAGGGAGGAGAGACAGAACAATAGCTCGTGACAGATAGAAGGGTTAAGTGAAGGCTTTTTAAGAATGGGATACACTTGTTGCATTGGTCCTCAATGTGTATTCTGTGGACCAGGAAGAGGGGGAGGTCCCCCAAATCCTTTATGAGGGTCTGTGAAGCCAAAACTATTTTTATAACAATACTTAACATGTTTTAATTTCTAATGAGGTAAATATCAATAAATGTAACCTGCAAAAAAGCTGGGGGGAGCAGCAGAATTCAGTAATTTTTAATATCAATAAATGTAACCTACAAAAAAAGCTGGGGGGAGCGGCAGAATTCAGTAATTTTTAAGAGTATAAAGACCAAAAATTTTGAGAACTGTTGAACTTGAGTATGTTTGTAGGTAGTAGGAAAAGAGCTAGTAGACAGGGAGAAGTTGAAGATGAGAGAGAGAAAATATTAACTATGAGAAGCTCTTGGAGATGGTAAGGGAAAACACCGAGGACAAAAGTAGATTCCTTAGAGATGGGACTAAAGGAGGAGAGTTCAGAAGATTATGCACAGAAGGGTTCTGAGGTACACTCAGAAAGGTGCCCAGAGCAGATGGCCTCTATTTTCTCCATAAAGTACAATGCAAGCTGCAAGATGATCTCTAAGTTTCTTCCATCTCCAAATTCCTGTGACTGGAAACTGAATAATAATAACTTTCTACTGATGTACTACTCCAGTGCCTCAACAATTCAATTCTATTAAAAAGGCATATATTTAGAACATACTCAGTGAAAAAAAAAATTCTAGTCTTTATGCAAGACAGAAAGAAAAGATACAATATCAACTCCACCCTTATGGAAGTATCATGTAGTGAAAGAAAAGCAAGTGACTGGACTACAGAAAGTATTTGCTAACAGAGTAAAAAGATCTTGAAGTTTCTAGAAGTCTGGAAAAAATTCAAGTCTAGTGCACTCAACAGTCTAACTAAATAAAGAGGATCATCAAAAGAAGATTGGGTACCAGGTGAGGAATGTTTTTGACTGTGGCAACTCACGAGGACTGTTTGCCTGGGTTCTAATCTTGGTTCTGTTAATAACTATCTAAAGCCAATCACTTGACTTCTTTGGTTGTTAATTTCCTCATCTATAAAAATAAGAAGGTTAAACTTGATCTCTAAGGTCCCTTCCAGCTTTAAATCTAGGATTCTATGAATTATAGAATCAGAGTAAAGGAGATGGCTAAAATAATCATATTGAGAAATTTGAAGAGAAAATTAGCATTGTCACTTGGAAGAGAACATTCTAAGAGAAGTCTTTATGAAGGAAGTGGCACTTGAGTGGTACTTCGACAGAAGAGAAGAACATTAATAGAAAGAAGTCCATTCCAGAACCATGGAATCTCAATGAAATCACAAACCTTTCAAAATACATAACAAAAAGTTACTCAATAAATATTTATTTCATCAGTAGAGTACTCACACAATAAAAACATAGATTTCTAAGGGAATTAACCTTGATTTCACCTTTGCAACATCTCTTGAATACATGCTCCCCCTTCTCTCCTCTGACGCTGCCATCACTCTAGTGCAGGCCCTTATCACCTCACACCTTGGTTACTACAACAGCCCCCTGGTGGATCTGCCAGCCACTAATATCCCCACTCAAGTCCATCCTCCAAAGTGATTTTCCTTAAGTGCTGGTGTGACCATGTCATCCCCACACTCAAAAAACTCCAGTGGCTCTCTATAACCTCCAGGATCAAATACAAATTCCACTTAAACTCCACCCCACTTCTCTAGTCTTATATCTCACACCCTACCACATACTCTTTAATCCAGTGACACTGGCTTCCTTGCTGTTCCAAGACCAAGTCATTCTATCTCTCAGCTCCACTCTTTCTCTAGCTGGCATATTATATTCATACCTGGAAAGCCTCGGCCCCTCCTCATCTCTACCTCCTGGCTTCCCTGCCTTCCTTCAAATCCTACATGAAATCCTATCTTTTACAGGGAGCCTTTCCCAGTCCATTTTTGGGGAGCTAAAATTGTTAGGAACTTTTCCTTCCTATTAAACTGTAGAAGCCAGCTTAGCTTAAGTACTTCCATTTTTAAATCATCTTTTTCCATTTTCATTAAGCCTGAAATGCAGAAACACATATTCTAGTCTTCACCTTCCCTCCTCCATTAAGCTGTTATACTCTTCTTTGCCCAGGAAGCTGATATCCAGCTGGTGAAGGTAGCCTAATCTAACTGATCCCTAGGTGACCCCTAAGAGTATTCCATCATCTCAATAACTTTTTTAAAACATTTTCTTCCCACAACCCATATTCCAATTTAGACATTTCAGTAAAGTCTGGATCCGAAAAATATCCTGCCCCCTCCCATATGCAATGCTTTCTCTTTGATCTATTATGAGGCAGAAGCCATTTCCTAAAGACACATTGTTCCCCCAGTTGACCAGCTGTTTTAATAAAGATTTGGGCAATGTGACCTACTGAACAGAATACAGCTCTTATTCCATTACAATTTCTAAATCTGCCTCTGTGCAGCTTCCACCCACTCACCCTAGATTTGGCCTCTTGGGCTAAGCACAGTAAGTCTTTCTGCACCACTGTTCTTCAAGTATTTGAAGACAACTGTCACAATTCCCTCTATATCTTCTCTTTTACAGGCTAAAGAGCCTTAGTTCCTTCATGGCAAGGGGGCTTCCCCATTCTTGTGCAATGAACCCCTCTGGCCGAAGTCAGTGAAGCCTAATGATCCCTTCTCAAAACCACTTCTTAAGTGTTTAAAATAAAACACACGGGATTATAATGGCAACCAATTAGACAGAAAAACAATTATAAAAATATTTTTAAACAAGTTCAAGGACTCCAAATTAAGAAGTCTTGTTCTATAGCATGATTTCAAGATCCCTAGGCAGGTGGTTACTCTCCTCTTAACCATAACTCTAGTGATTATACATCATAAATGTGTGTGTGTGTGTGTGTGTGTGTGTGTGTGTGTGTGTGTCTGTAAAATCAGAGAAGAGCATGTCCTGGCCAAACTCAAAATTCAAAGAATTTTCTTCTGTCTGGCTGAACTCCTACCTTTTCCATGGAAAGCATAGTTCCTTTTCTTTTTCTTTCATTTTCAAACTGTTACAATTCACTTCTAAGTAACTGACAACCACAAAAGATGGAAGATACTCCTGAAGTGTGCAGACATTTTTATAAACAGAAATGACTTTTTAACATAGTGTTTTATGTGTTCTTTGATCAAATTTTCTTTCCCATACATGCAAAGCACAGTTGGAAAATCAATTCATTCAACATTTATTATTCACTGTTCTAACCACTGGAGCAGATACAAAGTTTAGATAAAACATAGTTCCTGCTGTCACAGAGCTTACAGTGGGAGAATAATACACAAGTATGTAAATATAATATACAATATTTCATTCTAAGTGGCTTAGAGAACTGCAAAACAAAATGTTATGTGAAGTTAAAGGTAAAAAGTCATTACCATTTGGGGACATCATGGACAAGGTGACTGGTAAATTGTTTTAAAGGATGGTTAGGCCGAGGGAAGACATTTCAGGCATAGAAGACACTGTGAACATAAGCACAGTAGTGGAGGTATGTTCAGGCAACAGACAGTAGTACATCTTGTCTGAGTAAAGAGTGCCTGGAGAAGAGTTATATGAAATAAGCATGAAGGCACCAGACTATGGCAGGGCTCAGAAGTCCAGACAAAGGCGCTGGAGCTTTCTTGACAAACTAGAATGTCACTGAAAATTCTCAACAGCGGAATGACAAGACTAGATAGATACATGTAAAGGAAATGATTCTGACAGTGGTATAAAAGACAGATTGGAGAGGGGAGAAGGAACGTGTGAAGAAGAACTACTAAGAGGTTGCTTCAATAGTCCATCCAGGTGGATGGTCTTGGGAGTCTACGCTCAGGTGCTGGCAGTGGGAAATCAAGAAGAGCACACAGATTTAATAAATACATGGAGGCTTAACAATTATCGGAATATGAGGTGAGATGAAAGAAAGTTTAAGATAATTCCAAAGATTTTATCAAGGGAAGTTCACTGCAAAAACAGAATTAGAGATGTCATAAGGAAGAGCAGGTGTAGAAGGAAAAGATTAAATAAGATTGGTTTGTGGACTTTGTACCTAAGGAAATTATACATATTAAGACGTATAAAAATACAAAAAAAAATGCTGTTAGGCTTTTAAATTTTGAGGTGCCAGCTGAATATCCAGATGGAAATGCATTGTTGTCAAGGAGACTATCAGTTCTTAAAATTTTTAAATTAACATTTTTTCTAAATTGAACACTGAAAATAGTATATCAAAATGTATTCTCCTTTAATTTGACTGTTTTTAAGCTAGTATTTTTGCTGGAAAAAATTTAGGAACCTAATTTAGCAAAACATATTCAGTACAATTTCCCACAAATAACTTCCAAAACTAAACATCAGCAAAATAGATACTTAAGAACAATATTAAAATGTTTACTAATTCAACTAAACAGAATCAACTGAAGAAACAAGGAATAATTCAGAAAGGATAACAGAAACTTCTACAGTAAAAAAAGTATAGAGAGTTTAAATTTATACTAATATGGCAAAATTTTTTTAAAAAATTTAAATTTTTAAAAACTATTAAAAATTTCCATTTTTATAAAATTCCATAACAGTATTTCAGTTAATCATTTTTATTTTTCTATGAATTATTCTTTGCATAAACAAAAGATTAATCATTTAAAAGAACCCATTTATGAGCACATAGACAATACCTTGGTGGCCCGTATCTGTCTGTGAATGTCAGTTAGTTGTTGAATTTTGTATTCTAGCTCCGAAATCTGGGCCTGAAGCCACGTCCAGCGGCTGCCAACTCTAGCTCTGTCTACAAGCCACTTCCATTCAGTACTATAGTTACTGTGAACAAGATAGAACAAGGTTAGCCAATGAAAAAATACAATTACATTTTCATAAAGATAGCTTTAACATCTTACTTTTAACAATTTATTCTAAATTTCTTTTAAAAAACACTAAGGTTGAATAGCACACAAATATACAAATATTTAAAAGCTTTATTTTTCTTCCCAGCTACCCTTTAAAAGCTTAAAGGCACTGTATTTTTAGTATTCTACAATGTGTAATTTTCTTAAGTACAACAGTAGTATAAACCTCTTTCTAAATACTAAAAGAGGAATTTCTGAGAAGAAAAACAGAAACGGACAGAAAACAGGGACTATAATACTAATAATATATTATAAATTGTTATATCAGTCTTTCACTGTTTTATTAGTGTTCAAGCATATGATTTGACTTATACTGGACCCAAATGGTTTTAGCAAGGTGTAGTATTTCGTCTATACTTATTTTAAGGTAAAATAGACATAACCTTATTAAGTTAATTAAGATATTGAACAAGCTGAGTCTTAAGTTCAAACTACACATTTTGCTATCAAAGCTCAGAATCACAAGATTTAGGATTGAAGGGCCCTCAGTGACCATCCTGTACAACGCACAGTCCTAAATGAATGCCTACTAAATAAAACATGCACAGTTATGTAGTCAACATTCCTCTGCTTTCAACACCAAATGTCTATCTAAATTCTGATTATCTACTACTGGTTAAATCCCATCATAACAATATAAGGGGACCTCTGTATTGTTTTGTTAATGAAACTGAGTTATACAAAATATGCTAGAAATACCAGTCCTAATCTAAAAGACTCAGAAATGAAATAGCTAATGTCTAAGTCCCTTTTTAATTAAAAAAGCCAGTGAAGATAAGTATACTAAACTTTGTGAAAGGTTTCTCCTTCTGTACCTTTTCGTTATTAGTTTGCTCTAGTAGGTAACCTGTAAGTTTTGGTGAATTTTTTTTTACAAGTACTTTTTGTAAAATGGGTGGTGTGGGGAAGAATAACAGCTACTTAACAGAAGAATATTAAGATTATCAGAGCCTCAGCTAGAATCCAATTCTGCTCAATCTAATTATTTTGTTACAGGCAGTGTCTGTTATGTGGAAATGTTTTTGTTGTTTAGTCATTTGGTTGTTTCCACCTCTTTTCTACCCTGTGGACCACTGAATGGCAATAGTGTCCCTGAGGTTTTCTTCGCAAAGATACTAGAATGGTTTGCCATTTCCTTCTCCAAAGGATTAAGGCAAACGAAGGTGAAGTGACTTGCTCAGGGTCACACGGTTAAATGTCAGAGGCCAGATTTTAACTCAGATCTTCCTGACTACAGGCCCAATGCTCTATCCACTGAGCCACCTACGTGTCTCTACATGAAAATAAGACCAAAGAAAGTATATGACAATAATACAGAAAATTTATGTAAGCAGAGGGATATGAAACAGCATGACAGAATAAAGAGAACATTGGATGTGGAGGTAGAAAATACTTCATTTCAACAAGATATTTTAGCATTCTGGGCTTTTCATATTAGTAGAATAAGTAGAATGAAGAGGTTCGACACTATGTTCTCTAAGATTCATTAATGTTGTGTAAGTAATTTTCTTACACACAAAAATTTTTAATGGTATTGTAAGTTTTTGCCTGTACTAATATTCTTTTATGCTCCTTAAATGCCATCTTACTAAAATTTTTCATTGCAGAGAAGATGACTGAGTAAACACGTCATGACAACACTAGAATGGTGTACTATTCAAAATTTTCATTTTTCTTTGTCTTTTATCAATTTTAGATATATGCAGTCAGACAATTTAGATACATCAATTTTAGGTTCCTAACAATTGATGGATTAATAAATGTGGCATAACTCTGTTGAACTTATTACTAGCATTATTTCTACCAAAATAAGCTGATCATAAACTTGAGTATTCTGTACCAGAAATGAGACTAAATGCTAAGGTTCCCACAATTTTAAATGCTCAGCCTTGAAGACTATTTCAACATTTTTAAAATATCACTATAAATTCACCAAAGGTGAAATGTCATTTGGCTCTCATAAGATGGCTAGCTGACTGCCAAACACAGCACACGAGCAAGAACAGTCTCATGGACATTGAACAGAAAATCAGCTTTTTGAAGTTTGTACTGATAGATTGTTGTTGCTGTCCAGCAGTTTTCCGTCGTGTCTCTCTTTGTGACCCAACTGGGGTTTTCTTGGCAAAGACACTGAAACGGTTTGCCACTTCCTTCTCTAGCTCATTTTACAGATGAAGAAACTGAGGCGAACAGGGTTAAGGGCTTGCCCAAGGTCACACAGCTAGTTTTTTGGCTGGATTTGAACTTAGGTCTTCCTGACTCTGGGCCCAGCACTCTATCCACTGCACTACCTAGTAGCCCCCTGCAAGTGAGTAGTAATGGTAGGGCTTTCTTGTGGTTTAGTCTTCCCACTCTCTGTGACACCAATTTGAGGTTTTCCTGGCAAAGATACTGGAGTGGTTTGTTATTTCCTCCTCTGGTTCATTTCATGGGATGAGGAATTAAGGCCAACAGAGTTAAGTGACTTACCCAGGGTCACACAGCTAGTAAATGTCTGAGGCTGGATTTGAATTCATGAAAATGAGTCTTCCTGACTCCAGGCCTGGTATATATCCATTGCACCACCCAGCTGCCATATTATCCAAAACTTTATTTTTACAATGAGGATGTAAAAAGTTCACTTTACTAATTTACATGTTCATACATATACTCTTTCTGACACTTACTAGTAGGTGGACCCTAGACAAGCCTCTTAAATTCTATGTGATTCACGACTCCCTAGGACTTAGCAACTAAGTCAGACATATGATTTAGTAGAAGGAGTAGCATTTACATATGCACATACACCACATTATACTCTAATGATACTGAGTCAAGCCAGACAAAAAGTATAAACCTAATTTCTTTAGAAAGAATTTGATTCCTTATTGTTTTGGAGAACTCAAATTTTAACTTAATTCAATAAATCAACAAATATTCATTAACCATTTACTACCTTGGGCTAGGCACTGGCGATACAAAGACAAAACTGAAAGAGTCTTTGCCTTGAAAGAATGTAGGTACCTCCTTCTACCTGAAGCCTCTCCTCTGTTCCCCTCAATAGTTAGATCCCCCACTCTCAGCCTAGACTGTGTTTTACTATTTTGTATTTGTTAATATTAAATGTCTTTAAAATGATGTCTTTGTTGTCTCTCCCGTTAGAATGTAAACTCCATGAGAGTAGGAATTGGTTCATTTGTTGCATTTATATTCTTAGCTGTCAATACTTATAACAATGCCTGGCATATGGCAGGCCCTTAATATTGACTGACTGATTGAAGGAGTTTATAGTGTACTTGGGGGGATAACAACATATACTCAGGTAAATAAAGTATTTTGGGTGGGAAAAGAATAACAATTGGAGAAAATTTAAAAAAAACCCTTCCTGTAAAAGGTGACAGGAGCTAAATCTTCAAGGCATCAAGGGATTCTAAGAGTCAGAGGGAAGAAAGTACTTTATCCTACTGGGTGGGGGTGGGGGAGGGGGTGGTTACCACTGGTGAATTAGGGTTAGGGTTGGGGGGGGGTAAGGAAGTACTGTGCTAAAAGCTGGGGATACAAAGAAAGGTAAAAGCTCCCTGGAGGAGCTCACAATCTAATGGGGATAGACAATAAGCAAACAAATATGCACAAACAAGCTACATACAGAATAAAGAGGAATAATTAATAGTGGGAAGGCACCAGACTTATTGTTGTTAATTCTTCACTCTCAAAAAGGACCAATGACATCACAAGTGTGATGTCTTAACTTCTGCATGAATTGGATCTGAGTGAGGCAGAGAGTGCAAAGATGTCAGCCTTGCTCTCTCCTCCAAAATCATTGGAATCCAGTGGCAAGACAACGGTAAAGACACTGATAATAACCCAGGATGAAGTGTTCGACCTTGGCTTTTCTAAATCCAGAGGGGGAAGTCTCAGAGTTTCTGGCCAGAACAGAAAACAATTGCTATTTACACTCATTCTAAGCCATCAAACCTAAATAATGAGCCACAGAGGCTTGGGCAGGACCTATTACTGGCCATTCAATGAAAACCCGAATGATTTGGGTTTAATGCCACAGTCAAGTAGTTCCATTTAAAACACAATGGGCTTTTTTAAAGCCTGTTTTCCCAGAGCTATATTTCAAGAAATCAAAAATAAAAACTTCACAGGACAAAAGTAAATTGTCCTAGCTTTTTGAAAAAAAATGAAGAAGGAAGAAAAGGGGAGGGGGGTGAAGGGAAGGGAAAAGGAAGAGGAGGAGGAGGAGGAGGGAAAAGTAGAAGAGCATCATTTCCCAACCTCTGTTCAAATTGGTGGTTAGGTCCCCAGATGGCAACTGCTACTATTCCCCTCAGATAACTAGACTTAAGAGGGATTGGGGAAGACTTCCTATAAAAGGTGAGTTTTTATCTAGGACTTGAGAGAAGCCAGAGAAGCTGGGAAGGAGGTGGGGTTAAGAAAGGACAGCACTTCAGGTATAGGGTAAATTTCAGGTATGGAGCCAGAGAAAATGCCTAGAGCTGAGAGATGGAATGACTTGTTCCCAGACCAGCAAGGAAGCGAGTGTCATTGGATTGAAGAATATAAGGTAAGATGTAAGAAGACTGAAAAAGTGTGGGGATCAGGTGGAAAAGGGGTGTTAGGCTATGAAGGACTTTGCAAACCAAATAGAGGATTCTGTATTTGATCTTGAAGGTGACAGACAGCCACCACAGTTTACTGAGCATGGAGATGACATGTTCACACCAGAATTTAAGGAAAATCACTTTGGCAGCTAAATGGAGGATAGACTAGAATGCAAAGACTATGGCTGGCAGACCCAGTAGGGGGCTATTGTAATAATCAAGTGCGAGGTGGTAAGGGCCTGCACTAGAGTGGTGGCAGTGTCAGAGGAGAGAAGGGGCATATCTGAGAGATATTGCAAAACTGAAACGTACAGATCTTGGCAACAGT